ATGGGTCATCCCAAGCTTTACATATTCTAGCCTTGTCAATAATTTTCCAATGGCACATTATTAAACAGATTTTTGGTTTGAAATAAAAAAAAAAATTAAAAAAAATTTATATAACTTGTTTAACAAATAACCCAATCATCAGATTCATAGTAGAAATTATTAACTACAAACTTGCATACAACATAACACCCTTCATAATCCATAGCCCAAATTAGTAGTTTAAACACCTTACATAAAAGATAACCCTTTATGAAGTCGTCAAAAAACAAACGTTACGAAAGTCTTTCTTTTTATATGCACAATTCCCTTTCATAATAAAATAAAATAAAATAAATAAATAAATCTCCATAGACAAGCCACGTTTCATTTTTGACACCGTCACCTTCCCCCGACTTGACACCTTGAAAGTATCTCTATACCGCTACTTATCATTAACACCCTACACTCGCCTACCCATTTTAGACAATTCGCCCAAGCTGTTACCATGGTGATTTTGATTTCAATTTTTAAAACAAGTAAATTTCAGATATACGTTATTCCAACAAAAATTTCGCTTGAAGATGGAACGGAGCCCTTTTTAACTTCAACTCAATTTAATTTAAAGGATTATATTGAAGTTTTCGGCTCTTGTTTTGAAACATGAGACCTCTTATGTAGCGATTTGGAATCATATTTTTAAATAAATAATTATATTTATGCTCTACTTTTGTATCGAGCACTATTTTTTAAAATAATAACTAAAATACTAAGGAACTTTGGACTATTTACCTAACCAGTTCCTTCCTATTTTCTATATATCTTCACACACACACACACACACACACACACACACACACATATATATATATATATATATATATATAATTATGTTTCAGAATTTTCGTCTTTCATAATTATCAAAGTTTTTTTGCTTGTTTTTTTTCTTATATTAGTTTCATTTTTTTCCGATATCGCATCCCCCAATGTCATTTCAGCTTTTTTAAGGTATCGTATTTTCAGGTGTTAATACGTCTTGTTGCATCGTGTTTTTTTTTTATTTATGAAATATATTTAGTAAGCGTGTTCCTAAATTTGAAAACATTGTATTAATATTGGATTATACACACTCCCAAACACAAATTTTTACCGTGAATGTCTATTTCACGTGAAAAGTAATCTTCCAACAGGTCACATTGTGTTTCCGTTCTTTTTCTGGACCGTGTTTTTTTTTTCTTATTTCCATTAGAAATTGTCCTATGTCTGCGTATTTTCGATTTTCCTTCGCCATTATCAAAATGTTCTCTTTTAGTAGTTCAGTTTCATCGTTTATAGCGTCTCCGACATTTTCATATCGTTTTAAACATGTCAGCTGGTGTTCTAGTGGCATCCTTCGGCCTGGAGAAACCTTGGACCCCTGCCCAAAGTGTTATACCTCAGCTGCTGATAGCGGAGTCGCATCAGTGTCTATTCCAGGGTGCATGTCTAGACATGGTTTGATGAAAGATCGGTGGTTGCCTATGCAGCACGTCTCCCTCTCCACGCTACCGATATTGTCCAAGGAAGAAGCAGTGGCCAATACAGCTTGTCACTAGTGTTGTCGCAGGAATTGCTAGAACGAAGTTGATCATAACATCGGACTGTCTTAGGGGAAAATATAATACGCAAACAGTATATATCAAAGTAATGTTTAAGTAATTGAATAATGATTTAGAAAATATCCTTTGATGCGCGTTTTTTTTGGTTTTTTAAGGGTATTTTTTTTTCGAAGGGTGTCTTAATATTAAATAATGTTTGTATCGATGGAAGCATAAGTGTAAAAGAGGAAATGAAATACAACAAATGGCGGTTATAATTCTGTATCAAGAAAAGTGCTGAAGATCCGTGGCCGCTTAACTTCAAATTTAATTTTTAAATTAATGGCTTCCGATTTTGCGTATAACAATAAAAACACTATTCAAGAAAATATTGCCAAAGAAGCAATAAAAAAAACTACTGCAACTAACGTTAAAGTTGAAACAGTAAAAGAGTTAACAAAATTAACGTTTGAAAGACTGATGAAGGTTATAGAATGTCGAAGCGTCCATATTAACAAATCTAAATACATGTTTCTGTGGCCTTATATCTTTTGGATTTTGTTATGACTAAAAGGTTTTGTTATAAATAAGATGTTTTGGATTTATTTATAAATAAAATATTTTGTCATACGTTGAATAATAAAATCAAGCAAACACCCTTTTACTAAGGATTGATATTTTTAGCGGCAATTCACATAATGAATTGTTATTATAAATTATAATTATTTACCAAGAGCATTTGATGAATAAATTTATTATAAAACATTAATGGCAAAAACCCTCAACGTTTTACTGTTTAACTAGATAGATATAACGCCAGTTCTATTATAATGGTTTTTCTCGTACTTCTCGCCTGTGGAATCACTTTCGGTTTCATACATTAACATTTTCTATTTGCCGTGACCTTCCAGGACGTTGACTATCATAGCTCTCCATAACTTCCTGTCATTTGTAACTCTTAATAAATTTTGTCTTTATGTTATCTCCAAAAACTTGTTCCAGCATCCATTTACTCAAGTTCACTAGATAGATTCTGCTTTGTTTTCCTTTGCCACTCTTGCCTTCAATCTACCCTGCAAGTATCAAATTTTCCAAGCCCTCTTTCCTCATTATGTAAATTTTAATTGTCTCTTCCTCATGTCAAGTATAAGTGTCCATTTTGTTTCCATTTTCTCTGACATTCCACCGTTGTCCGGTTCATGGTATTCTCAGTATCCTTCTGTAGAACCACATTTCTGTTGCTTCAAGTTTCTTCTTCATCTATGAGGCGAGTGTCGAACATTCACTGCCATATAGGAAGACTGATATTTAGATAAGTGTTCAGTACTCTTTTATTTGTTTGTAACGAAATTTTCCTGTTTCTTAATACTTTTCTTAGCTTTTGGAATGTATCTTTCGCTAACCCAACGCGCCTTCTGATTTCAGTATTCCACTCTCCGTCCTCTATTGAAACACCTCCCAGATATTTAACTTTTTGTACTTGTTTGATTTTGACATCTCCACTTTGTAATTTGCATTTCCTGCTCTCCCTTTTGCTGACAATCATCCATTCCCTCTTCTTGCAATTGATGTTTAGTCCTGTTATCTTTTTTTTAATTCTATGAAATCTCTATCTTCTGTTTTCCTGGAAACCAGTTCTTTTATTGTCCCTTCTCCTTAATAAAGTCTTCACTCCCAGTAACATCTTTATCGCTTCTGCGTAGAATTATCGCGTTGCCTGAAATGATTAAATAAGTAACTTGCATAATATAATGTGATATCATGTATTGACTCAAGAGATAGTTACAAAATTCATATATTCATATTTTACCATCTCAATTATAAACACATTTTTAATAACGATGTATTGTCGCAAATCATGGCATCCGTTAATTTCTTGAAAATTCGGATGGACGCGTCATCTCTCATTGAATTCGGAACGCCAAAAATTCTACTAACTATGGCTTAAAAGAGTCGAATGCACGTGATACATGATTGACCAATGAAAATCAACCAATGCAAAATTATGCTCTTGCGGACAGATTTATTTTTACTCCCTAGGTAGTGGGTTATTGAGAAAATAAAAGAGAAATTACATATGGCTCAACCAAATAGCATTATGTCTTCTACCAGTAAAGTTCTGAACTAATGGAAATAAAGAAAGGAGCTCATCTGAACATTTGTCATGGAAATCGTGAGAAGTACCGAAATACTTACATCTGTGAGAAAGTAATTTAGATTGAATGGGCTGTACAAGCTTAGTTATGACATAATTTTGTTTTAATTTGATACTTGCAAAGATAAAACATGGCGGAATGAGTCAGATATTTCCTGGATCGATGTAGCACACAAACCATTTTTCTTAGTTTCTTAACCCTTAGGAGATGACAGGGTGGATGTGTCGGCTGAAAAGTCGAATGACGAAGAAGACGACTGGGCCGATCCGTCGACCCGATAATACAAGTCTTGTGGTTAGCTGGCTGGCATTCTTATCGGCCATTCAGATATCTTCTTGCATTTCTTGCACATCTCGGCCTTTCAATGTCGGTTTCTATGATAGTTTGCTGTAATCTGTGATTTTACATCGATGTTTTTGCACTTCAAGTGAGGGCCTGTGAAAAGGGCTCCGTCTTGGCACTAAAACTCCAAATGACGCACCGTTTCCAAAGGGTTAAGCAATTGATTGTAAATAAAAGTCCCACTTGAGGTCTGGAGTAAACTTAAAACCAAATAAACGTTCAAAGTATGAAGCCTCATTAAGTGTGAAACGGTTCCCTATGACTGGGAAAATCTTGACGTCTGAATGTTGCTGATTAAATAATATTAGCTTAGATTTTAAGGTATTCAAAGTTATAAGCGAATTGCTTCAACATCGAGTTGTTGAAGCTAGGTCTCAGGACATATCTGCTGCAAGTCTTTGATATTCATTGTTTGCCTTTGGGGATAATAATGTAGAATAAATGGCAGAATCATTTGGTTTAAATGGTCGGCTTTGTAGCAGAATCTTCAGAGAATTCAAGGAATCTACAGGGAAGGCAGTTTCTGCATAACTTCAGCAGCTGCTAACGGCTGTAAACGCAATTCTGGTATCAATAGCAGAATACGAAAACAATCTGTGCCATATATTTCTGCATGTTACTATAATGTGCTAGACTTCAAACAGATCATCTCTCAACTTTTGCATTTATTAAACTAGTGAGACCTCCCCTGTCAAAATTCAGCAGTCAACCCCGAAAGATATGCGACGAGCTGGTATCTTAGTGTCAGAAGACATGTTTGAAGAAAAGATGTGACAGAGAAAAAAATGCAAATCAGATACCATTATGGAATATTGCGTTCTATATGGAGTTTCATTTACTTACTGGTTGCGTCTGTTCATTAATAAATAATATTTTAGGCTGCGTCATAAATGAGTTCAACATTATTCTTCTAAAAATGCAGTATAGTTAACATTCAGTTATAGACTTAGGGCCATAACGCTTTCTAACGCCGGTTCTCGTCCGAGTGTCGAAGTTAAGCAAGGTCGAGCCTTGTCAGTATTTAGATGGGTAACTGCTTGGGAATACCAGGTGCTATAAGCTTGGATATGTGAGGGTGTAATTGATAACAGCTCGAAATTTTAGATCGAAGAACCGAGTTCCAATTCCCATCGAGTTCATTATATTCACTTACGCTCAAATACCACTAGGAAAGATATGAATCCATCTCTTTTTCCCCAACTACGAGTTAAATAGAAGGACTTGTGTCAGTAAATCATTATTATCTCCCCCAAATCCCTACAATACAAAAAGTATTTTATAGTTTTAAATAACCTGGAAAAGGTTTGATTTTGCAGTAAAAAAAAAGAAGAAAGAAAACTGTTAATCGGTATTGCATCCTTATGATGAACAAAATTTTCCTATTGACGAGAGCAGGTCACTTTTCGACCAAACCTTTGTGGCTTCCCCGAAAACTACAATCTTAACCTCTTCGAATCAATCGTTATCTATCCTCCTTATCCTCATAAACGTCACTTTCTACAACTTTTTAATTCCTTCATAATTACTATTTAAATATTAAACCTCTACTTTGAGTGGCTCTCAAGTTTTGTATAAGATTAAAGTTGAAGAGGTCAGCTCATTAGAGCGGTCAAATAATCATTAATTTAAACTAGAAAGATAAACGGCTTTCTATTTTAATATTCTGATGAGTCTTAATTCTTAAGTTAATGATTGAATAAGCTAATGGGTTCTATGTGTTATAGTCCAGGTTAGGACCAAGGAAGAATAACACGAACATAAGAGTAGAAATAACGAAGGTATATTACACGAAATAATAATACAAGATGTGGAAGGTGTTGGTATGACTGTCAGTCTGGTTTGGAGTGAACTACTATCGGCTCGTCTCGATTCGGTATCTAGCCACCCCCACCCCACGAGGGTTGCATGTGGCACAAGGCCGAGTTTAACGTAAGCTCGGCCAAAAAAAGCCCGTAGAACCCGTATAAACGGGATCGGGTTGGTCAACCTCCCCGAACGAGAGCCAGCCCTTCGGCGGAGCCTCGTCCGGGTTCCTCTCTGATCAGAGGCAGAGAGTTCGACCGTCAAGCCGAGCTTCTCGGCTTGATTCGGAATCTAGCTCCCCATCCCACGAGGGTTGCATGTGGCACAAGGCCGAATTTAACGTGGGTTTCCCGAGCCCGTAAGCTCGGCAAAAAAATGCCCGTAGAATCGGGTTGGTCAACCTCCCCGAACGAGACTCTTCCCTTCGGCGGAGCCTCGTCCGGGTTCCTCTCTGCTCAGAGGCAGAGAGTTCGACCGTCAAGCCGAGAAGCTCGGCTTGAATCGTCCCTCTCTCTTGAGAGGCGTAGTATACATAGTGTTAGGAAGGGTTCATTCTGTAGTTATAGGTAAGGACCCATGACACTATGACAATAAAATAATAATCGTTAAATAACAACTTTGACAAAATTTTGCAATAACAATCATAAATATGAATGCTGGTCGTTATTTGAAGAAGTAAGGGGATACAAATGAAAAGATGTTTCCATTTCACTGAAACAGACTTAAACGCTTATAACTCCCACCCTTTCTTTCTTTTATTTTCTCACTAAAACGATGTAGCGTCTCTGATATATCGTTTCTGTGTTTCCACGCAGTTAAAACGGAATAATCCATTAATTATGATATATTTGGTAGGCCGTAACGTTCATGTGAATTAACTAAAGAACTGACTAAAAAGTGGGGGACAAACATACTTATAATATAGACGTTTCAAACAAGAAACCAGAAGGAAATACACTCCAGTTTCAAATCAGTCGCGCTCACCGGGTCATTAAGCGCGTCCAACTTGCCGACTTAGTGGGATTACAAAAGCTGATACCCTTATCCAGTTGTGAAGATGTCTCGTCGAGTTCCATGGCTGCTTGGTGGTTGATGTCTCGCATATTCCCATTTAATTGCACAGAATAACCTCGGAGGTCCAAGAGGGCTAGATTAGCGTAGACTATATGTGCGAGCAAATTGCTAGCGCGGCAGACAGTCCGAGCATCGGCGCTGGAATGACGAGGCACATGCATCAGAGTCAGATCGAGGCTGGCAGTGTGCCTAATATGCAAATTCTCTGGCTAGGCAAGAACATATAAAAAAAAAGCGAGTTCTTGTTGAGTCGGCAGAAGAATTTTGTGCGTTCAACACAGTTTGGTGCGTACTAAACCAGAATGTATTGCGATGGTGTTTCCAGTGTCTGTGCTACAGAATCCCGGCTTTCCTGCAACATTAATTATATTCGATCGGCTTATTCAATCCAGTTTTGGAATTAATTGTTAGCAGAAGGGATTGAGAAAGCATCAAGCAATGTCGACCTGTGTTCTAGCGTTTATTCCGTTTTGCATAAAACTGATTTGTTGATATTATGTACTTTTGGACAAAACGTTGTGATAATAAGAAATAAAGATGAGGAATTAATGAAAATAAAGAGAAGTTCAAAACAGAAAAGTAATTTACTTTTTCTCCACGTTCGTCTACTTTATCAATGCAGCGACTAGAAAGGTGACAAAATTTGGTAGGATTTTCTTTGTACGTCTCGACAACTGAGAAGTAAAAACAAGACAAGCAAAGGACAGAGGTTGCTTTAGTGCACTGCAAAGAACTGAATGAATCCTCCGGTGATGCACATTATATGATAGTTTTCAGATAAAGACATAACTTTTGTGAAATCTTCAGAGAATATCTTTAATTGCAGAATTTCTTTATAATGTGATATTGTTTCGCTAGTTCGAATCCCTTCTGCTTCGATTTCCGTTCTCCAATCAAGTGACCCAGACGATGTCTCCTATTACCAAATATGCTTATCTGAACTGCCACGGAAGATTTTCTTCTTTCGTTATTCAGACACATCCATATTTGGGAATAAAATTATGGGTTGTGAGGGAGCATTATGCCCAGACGTCACCACGAATTCCATATTTCAATTCATGTAATTATACAGAAATAAATCTTAACACATTTATATATAAGCACATAGATTTGTACAGGGCGCGATGGGTAAATTGTCGCCATTTTATATTCTTAATATGCTTGTTTTTGTTCTTTGTTTTTTTTATTTTATGACTTCACGGTATAGTAGAGTCATTTGGGCAGTGTCTGTAAGAAAAAGAGCACCATGACGTAATTCACTTCGCCCACAATTTGGGTACGGCATGCTGTACTTCTTGGCATTCGCACCAGAAGCTCCAATACGAACATTTCAGAGTGTTTGGGTGTCACACTAAGGATAATGCAGAGGATTGGGAAAGTTGGATCAGTTCTGATTACGAAAGTACAGCCACTCGGAAAACTTACTCTGGTCATTCTAATAAGAAAAGAACTCCCGAATTCGTTGATGGGGCCCTCAGGCTCAACAAGGAGGCCTACATCAAGTGCCATGAGTATGTAGTGCTATCCTGGAGCAAGAGTGTGGTCGCTGGAACACTCTATATCTGGTAACAAGAATCTGCACTATACCACACAAGCAGGGTATCCCAGTTATGCCTGTCAGTCAATTTCTGCAACCACATCACCCATTACATTTGGCCACCTAACTCCCCAGATTACAACCCCCTTTGATTATTGTGTGGGTCACAGTTGAGCGAGAGACCAACTAAACTCCTTTAACACCAAAGATGAATTGAAGGCAAGGATACGGCCGCATTCACTCACTTAAACAAGGAGGCCGTCTAGAAGAGTTGCAGGAGATTCCGAAATCAACTGGAGGCCATGGTTGAAGCTAATGGCTATTTTATTGAATAAATTTACTCTTTAGTACATTAGCGGCCATAATATAAGGAACGGAAACAACAAAGACATAAATATGTGTATTACTTAAAAAGTAATGCATGATTAACAATGAAATTTTTACCGAATAAAGATTAGGGTGTAATGCATAAATATTATACAAAGTTACAAAAATTTACATTATAGTTTTTTTTTAAATAAAGATTAAATGGAACAAAGGAAATAAGCTACTGAACAAAAGTTAAGGAACGATCTTGTTAATACTTGATTGTGGACAAAATATCAACAAAATTTAATTTTTGGTAAACATCCCCCTATTTTCAATGACTTCTCTGCATCGTAGACCACATAATCTAATTAATTTCTTGCAAAAATCAGCAGTAATTCCCTCCCATTCATCTTTCAATAACTCCCATAGGTGATCCTGGTTTTTCGGGTTTCTTTTCTGAGCCCTTTCTCCAATTATCTTCCAAACATTTTCTATTGGATTCAGGTCGGGGCTCTGGGCTGGCCAATTCATTAGGGCGATTTCTTCTTCTTCATATAAAGCCATAAACTTCTGAGCCTTGTGGCAAGGTGCATTGTTCTGCATGAAAATAGGAGATTCATAAAGATTATGGTGTAACCTTGGTACCACATGCTGCTGAAGAAGCCTTTTGTAAATCTCAGCATTGATATTGCCATTTACGCAGATGATAGGGCCAACTCTTGCAGATGAAATCATTCCCCACACCATCACACTGCCGCCACCAAACTTAACGGTTTTCTTGACACATTGAGAAGACAGTCTTTCATCTGTTCTACGGCGTATGTAAGTTTTGCCCTCAGAATCAAATATAGTAAACTTGGACTCGTCACTGAAATGAACTGTATCCCATTGTGCGTCGGTCCAAACAACATGTTCTCTCGCATACTCCAGGCGTGCCCTTTGGTTTCGGTTTGAAATGAGAGGCTTCGAAGCTAGAATACGGGCATGCAATCCTGCATTTTTTAACCTGCGAGCAACCGTTTTCCTTGAGATCTTATTACTTGTCTCTTCATTAAATTTACGGGAAATTGATGTAGCAGTTTCAAAACGGTTTTTTTTTTTTTTTGTAGATATTCTAACAATTCTTCGATCTTCTCTTCGCGATGTTTTTGGAGGTCTGCCGGTTTTTGGTTTTGCATCTAACGTTTTATCGGTTTTATACTTGTTAATTACACGATGAACGACACTTTTAGACCTATGAACATTATCAGAAATTTCTGAAATTGACTTTTTTTCTTGATAGCGATAATGAGTTTTTTTTTCAAAAGAGAGCGTTTTGCGTGTAGAATTTGCCATA